TGGTTTTTTTTCCCTTATACATGCACCAATTCAGAGCGGGTTACGTACATAGTCCTGCTCCTCCGATGCCCTCTCTTCTCATTGAGCATCTGAGCAAATCGCCTGCTTACACAAAGCCCGCTGGAATTGCTAGTCTGTATGCTAAAATGCTGCAGAGCTGCTGTAAGCGTTGCATTGGGCAATCATTTCCCCTCTCCTTTCCCTCCCTCCACTTCGGAGCAGCATATCTCTGTGCAGAGAGACAAGAGGTTTGTAGACAATTTGGGAAGACAAGGGTATGCGGGATCTCTGATGCTCTCGGTTTGTTGCTAGCTCAGGTACAGGTTACGTTTTGTTCCACCTCTTTTTGTTTCATTTTGGTTGTCTGATTTCCTCCAGGCGATGGGATTGAAAACAGGCTTTCAGCCTCTCTGTTTTCTTAACCATTTTCTAGGAAACGGACACTGTTTCCCCCCCTGTCATTGAAATCATTGCCTGCCAGACTAGACAAACTTGGGTAGATACAGGTGAAAAATCTCTATCTGACGTAATTTATTTCCTCGGTGCACAGGGCACAAAGAAAATGCCTAGTTGGATTGAGCTGAAAGACATAGCTGCGTAGAGGTCTCCAGGCTGCTTATTAATACCTGTGCCTTAACTTTTCCGGGGCAGCATAAATTCCTCTTGTGCCAGATTCCCACAGATCGATGCTCCATCAGTCACTTTTGAATTAGCAAGCCATACGGAGCAGAAGATGAAAAGGTCACTGCAGCGGACCTCAGAGCTGATGGGCTTTTTGAGGAGGACTCGCGGCATTTAGATCTGCAAGGTTTTACGTGGTTCTTTCACAGGCAGCTTGAGGCAATAGTTGTAATAAATCAGTGTGCTCCTATTGCTAAAGTACACGCGTGTCACTGGGGAGTCTGTACCAGTCCCCTTCTCACCAGGTCCAAAAACACAGGGCTTTGGTCCTTGAGCTAAAGGCAGCCCCTTTTAAGCTAGGACCCGTTGTCTTTCTTGTGGACATAGAGATGTCGGTAGATCATCTGGGAGGCAGACAGTCTTCTCTGTATCTGTAAGTGCCTAAAATAATAGGGAATCGCTGTCCTATCGCTCCCCCGCACACGCACGGCAGCGTGGGAGTGGGAGGCAAAACTTTTCTCCCGAGCCACCGACCTGCCCCATAGCAGCAGCCTCCTAAGCTGCTGTCTGTGACCAAGGTTGTAAACTGCAAGCATGCATCGTCCTGAATCCACCGGTCCAGTCCCTGCCCGTCACGATGTGTTGGCCTGCCGTGGTTGTGAGTCTCCATCGATCGCACCGTCTATATGTCGGATGCATGCCGGCGACACTGTGGTTGTGTGCCCTTCCATACCCAAAGTGACAAACCTGAGTTATTCATGTGTGTTTGACTCTTTAAGATAACAGACCTCTTGTCGTGCCCTTGCAATGAGAGTGAGACAATCTGCAAAGCCAGAAGGGTCTCATTTGGGGATCTGGAGTGAACTGGAGGCTGGGAACCTCCATTTTTTTCCCTTCCTGGCATTCAGGTCATGACATGCATAGCAAGAAGTCAGGTCCTTCCTGGCCAGAGCAGCCAACCCACAACATTGAGAGAATTGCTCAGTATAGTACTGGGAAAAAGGATCTGTTTGGGTCATCTTCTGGGGTGGACAAGGTCCATTTTAGAAATCAGTTCGCTTGATATTCAGAAATAGTGTGAGAATGAGAATCTGGTGGGCACGCGAGGAGGGTGGGCTTGAGGTCTCGGCCAGCAAGAAGTCCAAAGGAAGGACTGTGTAGAGTCCCCAGATAAACAGATTCCCTTCACAAGCTAAATCTGGGGGTGAGGGGATTGCAGGTCCCCTACCTTTTGAGCGACTCTGCTCTGCCTTCTTGAAGTCCTCTTCTGGATGGAGAGGATGATATCTCCTGTCCTACCCCATTGCAGAGCATTGGTATGTAGTGTAAGGCTTTTGCAGGGACAGGGATTTGCAGCAGCTGTTTGGCTCCTCGAGGGCTCAGTTGTTCTCTCCTGCTTTTTTTGCTTTGCACAGAAGACTGCAGATCCTTGCTTTGATCCTGCAGGCTGCTCTGGGTGAGTGCAGACCCGTGCTCTTCACTCCCAAACAGAGCAGCCTGCCCGATTGGGGACCTAGTGAGCTGGCCCAGATCTATCCCAGCTGAGCTAATATACATGCCAAAGCAAACATAGCTCAGCACATCTTATCACTGAATGCTCTTGTACTGTTCTTGTTCCCATTCTTAACTTCTGGATTCCGCTTTCCAGCACTCTGGGAAGTCACTATTTCATTTTTGAGATAAGCTTCCTTGAACCTCAAGTATTATATCTATTGCCAGGTCATCACCAGTTTAATTCATAATAAATGGCATGCTGGAAGGAGGACAGCGTAGATAGATATCTGTAACTATTTTTAACAACATTTGGAACATATCCCTGGGTGGAAGGAAGCCCTGTCTGGTAGCTCTGCATCTCTCCTGTGTGATCTTGCATGCCATACTTAGGGCTTGATTTTTTTTTCTTTACTCCTCTCCCCCAAAAGCTGCGTATCGACAGCTCCTAGTGATAGGAAACAGGGAAGGAAGTGTTCAGACTTCTGGAAATTAGGCTCTTCAGCTCTGTGCCAGAGTGTTTTCAATCTATAAAACTGAGAATAATACTAACTTCTCTATCTCCATGGGCGTCCTGAAGCTTTAATTACTTAATAAACGCTTTGAGAGTCTGCTGGATGGCTCAATAGACGCGCCGGTTATGGATGGTACATCTTGGAGACTTTAATCTTGTAGGCAATCCTCCTTTTTCCTTAGTACAATGTTTATGTACGTGTGTTTTTATAATGGAAAGGGTTTTTTTTTAAACTTAACAATAGATAAATGAGACCATTACAGCTCTCAGAAGTGATTAATGTGATTTTGGTGGGACGAAGCTAACGCGACCAGCAGTTCTGCCATGGCAGGCCCTGCGCTATCTCAGCACAACAAATGGGGGCATGACTTAAAAACCGTATTAGATTGGGCACCTTGCAGGAGGGGCAACAGTATGTCAGAAGCAAAAAAAAGTACCACCTTGAAGCTGATGAAGTGGCTCATCTAAGGGTGTCACACTGGCAGACCTTCAGTAACAAGTGGATCTGTGATCAGATCCTAATGGATTGAAGGGCTCCAGACAATGCATTCAGTTGAGACATAAATCACATACACAGCTACAATCATGGAAGACCATCATCCTCGACTGCGAGGCACTGTCGAAGAAGAAGACACGCACAATGCGTTGGAAGCCAGAACTAGACCTCTGGACCGTTACTTGCAAAACCAAAGGGTGGCTGGTGGGATTTAAAGGTTGTCTTCCACTGCTAGTAGTAGCCACAAGCTGGGTCTTTGTGAGGCAGTGGGTGTGTCTACATGTGCGCTTTAATGCGCATTAGCCTATTTTAATGCGTCACAAAAACACCTAACGTGCTTTAAAATAAGCTAATGCACATTTTTCTAATACCTCACAATGGAGGTACTAGATTTAATGCTCATTACCTAAAGCGCATTAATGAATGTGTAGATGGGCCCACCGGGTAATGAATCTGGCTCTTCCTGGCACTTGTAGCATTGCAAAATGTTCTGTGAAGTGGAACGGTAATCTGGTCTACATGTCATTTTTATGCCAATAAAATTGTTTCAGTAAGGATTCTGTGATTTTTTTTGGTGTGTTTTTTTTTTTATGATCGCTGGAGCAATATAAAGGGATTGCATTGCTTTATGCTGGCATTTGGGTGTGAATGCTACCTTATATATTTAAAGTTCTGTCTCTTTCTGTCTTGTGGATTTTCTAGAGCTTTCTCGATTAAGCCACTTGCCGTGTTACATGTGGCCTGAGCCAGCTCCTTCCCAACGTCTCAGCTGGTAGATCTTCGGTTGGTGTAAACCGATGTTGTTTCACTGGCTTGAGTAGAATTGTCCCAATTTCCAGATGCTAAGGATTTGGCCCTCTCTGTGCCATTGTCTGTAGAAAGATTGGTCACTCTTGATAAGAAGAGGACCACTGTGTTTATAATGCCTAATTCATTTGGGAACCCCTATCTTAGAAAGCCACCCTCAGCCTCTATTTAGAGCTGCATATTTATAGCCTACAAGATGCTCTCTGCCATCAGGAAAACGAGTTATTTTTATTCTCATGCCCTCCAAAGAAAAGCCAGGTTTCCTTCACTGATTGCATTCTTGGAGGGCCTTGAAGTCGGTCCCCTTCCCAGAGTTGGAAGGGCCCAGAATAGCAGTTTTTAAATAATGTAAAAGCTTTCATGGAACAGCAATAGATTTCAATGGACTGAATGTACATTGGTTTCTGAACTGTTCTCCTTTTAAAGACACCGAAATAGCTTTTGATCGACAAGCCGGACATAAAATTGGAACCGAGGGGACCAAATTTAATTCAGGCTAATAGAAGGATAATGAGTCTGAGCTCATTGCATAACCCTGAGCAAGCCCCCGGTCCCAAAACTCAGGCAGAGCGTTGCTTTCATCATTTTCTCCGCCTTGCTTATCAAAAGAGGAAATTGGGGCTAAAACCCTGGTGTCCTCCCAAGTTGTAACCAGGTGTCAAGGTATAAAATCTAGGGGACTTGCTTGTCCTGAGCCTTCTCTGCCACCACTGGAGGATGAGCCCATTGAGAAGACCACTTGAATGCAGAGGTTTATGTGGTTCATGGTCACAAGCCAAATTAAGTGATGACTGTACTGCTGCTCTTCAGACCTTTTGTGTAATTTTCACCTGCTTCTGAGAGCTGTTAAGTGCTCTTAATTAATGCTTGGAGTCCATGGGAGCTGGAGGAGTTTCCCCTTTGTATGCAGAGTCCATTCAGTTATCAAGGCAGATTAACACTTGCTCCAGTGCAGCTCTGTTGTAGGGACAGGGAGAAGCCTTGTCTTGAGTTGGTGCTGCTAGCCCTTCTGAGAGACCAAGACAAGCTTTCTTCCAGTATTTCACTCACAATGTGCTCCTTTCCTCGCAGATGACAGAAGGCAGACACTGCCAGGTGCAGCTCCTTGATGACAGGACCTTGGAGCTGCTGGTTCAGGTAAAGGCTCTCTTTGGGGGCTATGCATTGAGGGCATTGGTCCCCCAACCTAGGGGGGCATAGTCAGAGGTGGGGGGTTTGCTGGCTTCTTTATCTTAATATCCCTTAATAATGCTTTCTAAACAAAGCCCCATTTTCAAACATGATTTAGGCTCCAAATCCCTGTTTCCTTCCAAGCATGCAAGTTGCTTGTAACTTCTGTTCTTAAATCACTTGGGCACAGCTGGAGGTTTACCCCATGCCTTCTTTGTTACTCACTGGTAAAACAGAACGACGTTTTAAAATCTCAATCTGACTTCTTTGCTATTTGTTTTTTTGCTTTAATAATGCTATTTGGCTTGGACATAGTGGCACAAAATGGGTCTGTTCACCATCGCATGAGTGCAGTTGGGTGTGCAAACTTTTAAATGGTCTTTTAAACGTATGTGTTTTCACTGAATATTTTGTTACACGTTACCTTGGGTTTTTTACTTGTCATTTCAATCGGAAAGAAGAGTCCTATATCTCAGGGTCTGCTTTAAAGTGAACTGCATCTTCTCATGATCCAAATAAAGGGCCTACTTCTGGGGGTGGGGAGGGGGTCCTACATTTTTTTCCTAAATGTTCTTCTATATCATCAATTCCTTTTTGTCACACGGTTCAAGAAAAGCCTGAATCAGTGTGTACCCTGACCAGCCCCTGCTGCTTCCCTTCTTCTCATTAGGCATCTCAGCTGGACTTGTAGGTTAAAGACCTCGATGGCCTCTGCTACCCAAGCATTTAGTCCTTCTGCTCTCCCATCCTTTAGATGATGTAGCTACCGTGTGCCTCTAAATGTATGCACCTCTGAGAGGTAAACTGGTGTCTGGAGCTGTTGTGGGACTATGTAACACAATGATGCTTCTCCCCATAGCCTAAACTTCTGTCTCGAGAGTTACTGGATCTGGTGGCATCACATTTCAACCTCAAAGAAAAGGAGTATTTTGGGATAACATTTATAGATGACACGTAAGTATCTCCATATGGATTTTTTGTCCTTGATTACGGTTATGGAGGGGGGAGGAAAAGGCCCGGTGTGTCCCATACAGACTCTAAATTGGACTGTAGGCTAAACCACAGTGAGGTAAAGGTGCCTGCTTTTTTTAAAGAGATTTTCCTCTCTCCTAGAAACAGTGCCCAAGCTGAGCAGAGGTAATATGCCAGGACAAAACAAGAGGGCAGTTGCTTTTCCTTTTTGTTCTCCTCCTTTTTTCCTGTTTCTGTGCCAGGGTGGAAAAGTTTGAGTCAGTATTCATTCCTCCCAACGTGAGCACACTCATGCAAGCCCTCTCTGTGTTTCGGGGGGGAAAAGTCGCAAGGATTTGCATGCATCTTCAGCATGAATCAGTTATAACATTTGGTCTTTTCTGGCTTCAACCCCATTATAAACAAGCCTTTAATCCTGACCATTGTAACCACAGAGAAGTGTAAAGCTAGAAGACGCAGTAATCAAGTCCCAATTTCACTGCCTTTCTCATTTTGATAGAAATCGAAGACTCCTTTGCAGGCTACTAGAAAGGCTACAAAGGTAGCCTCTGTTTTTTAAGTTTGTGGACTCCTCTCCCTTATCCAGTTGCTAGCAAACCCACGCATCTGACGTCCATGAGCATGTTGCTTATTCTGAACATTTCAGCGCTCGGCACCGCACATATTGCAGTGCGATATGCACTCCTACAAGCATTTCTAACACATCCGTGTCACAGCTTCTGGGACTGACAGACAAGGGAAGCATAGCATAGAAGGGATGGAGATTTACAACAGTAGCTAGTGGGTGTTGACTCTTGTTATAATATTATATCTGTATTACAGGGATGAGAGTCCATACCTTCTCCAGGAGGCTGCCAACTCTTTCCACCATGCCCACTGTTACTTTTCATATACAAAGCCTCTAGGAGTGTAAAGCCTCTTAATCTCAAGATTTAACTCTCATACAAAGCTGTGCTTCAGCCCATCTCTAGAGAGGGACCCACTCTCGGGATTTTTGGGGAGCAGTGGAGAACGCCTGCTAGAAATCGGTCATGGTTGGGCATTACTGCTGGGCCGCACAGTTGTTCCCGACTCTGTAATGGGTGCATGTGTTGGAATGATAATGGTCCTCCTAGGGACTGTCTTCTCAAAATATTTTTGCCACGTACTTCTCCTTTCCGTGGCTCGGCAAGTGTTTTTCTCCCAGCGCTGCTTCTATAAATCCCTTCAAGATGCTGTTTACACTTGGCTTTTTATTTTTTCCAGCAGAACTGCCACGAGAATACTTCTTGGTTAGTGGCATTTCCACCTGAAAGCACTGCCCCGTTGTTACATAAACGCTGCTGGCAACTTGGTGGAAAAAAACATAGGCAGATCCCAGAGACTTTTAAAATGACTGCTCAATAGGCCCCTGGCTCTTCTCCGTACATACCTTAGTATTTGGAGACTGAGTTTGTTGCCTCTGGAGGGCAGTCATGCTCTTCAAACCTGGAGGTTTTCTCTAAGATGAGTGGTTCTCAAACTTGTTAGACTCAAGGCCCCCCTTGGAAAATACCAGCTCTTAATCTTCACTTGATTTTTGACTGCAGAAAAATACTAGAGCAATTCTTCTGCAGCAAGGAAGGAGGAAGAACAAAACAAGTCAGAATGCTTTTAACACTATTTGAAATCTCTAGGTTGATTTTGTGGATCTTGTCTGCACACCTAACAGTGTCACTCTGTGACACCCCTGAAAGGATCTCAAGGCAACCCATAGCACCCCGGTTGAGAATCACTGTCCTGGATAACACCCCGGTTGAGAATCGCTGTCTTAGATACCACTAATATGTCAGACTTGATTCCTG